GTTTAGATGGTTAACATATCAACAATCGGATGAGCATGGAGCTTCAGCCATAGGATCAATTTCCAAGAATTCCCACGAAGATATTTATGCAAGTTCTGCGAAAAGATGCGTGAAATGTTTAATTCCGCTGGACTAGCACGTGTTCAATAACGATCAGTGTAATTCCAACTGCGATTCACTAACTACCTACAGATGTTAAATATAAACCATTTTGCAAGTAAGTTTTCGATATTTTCCAATTAACCACTTCGTAAGCCGCAAACCTAGTACTAAATATTCGGCATATCTAAAATGCCTCTGAAGATATCAAAGTCTAAATAAGTCCTAGTTTAAGAGCAAACGGTAGATTGCACACCCTTTATAATTACCGCTCTTCCACTGGTGTGCGTGATATTAATGTTTTTCCAATATTATTCTGGCTCACCTAGGCCATAAATATACCTACTTCTCATATAAAAGCCCTATTATTTTCGTCCGATATATTATATAATAACATAAGTATTAGCCGATTTTCTAATATCCGCTTCCTCCTGGGCCATGTTTTTTGATTTCTGATAACACAAGCTGACGAAATGGTTTTACATGTATGTCACCTATATCTATATATATATGTATATATAATGCGTTTGTCCTGTATTATTTGCAGATAGACCCACAGCCTAAAGCACTGATCAAGGAGACCTGAAACTTGGAGTGTGTGTACGGCGTATGACTTACGGAAAATGGACCTGGGACCGATCTAAGAAAAAAAATTTATTTTTAAATCGTTTGATTGACATGAAAAATGCTACTCAATTTGCTTCCGAGAAGTGGATTCGAGACCTATCTGTTTGAAAATTTTGTATTCATCGTTGTTTCGCATAAAATTTTAGAGAGTAGTAGCTTCAGGGCCATATTACCATTGGGAAGATCTTTTCCTTCGGAAGTCGGTCTGAGATCCGGACCATTGAATCGATGCCGGGCTCACTTTCTACTTGCAAAATATATATAGTATTATACAAAATAGTTCATAAGTTGAAATAAAATCAATAATAAAATAAAACAAATAAAAGTCGCGGCCAAACCCTAGTCTTTTGATATATAAACCGGATTTTCTGTTTGTTCGCATAGCTAAAATTCAAGTATCGCTGAATTGATTTGGCTAATTTGTATAATGTAATATTTTTTCAAGTTCAAGGAAAGTTTAAAAGGTGAGAGTTATCCGGATCATGGACCGATCTATTTGAAAAATTCATATTTATTTGTTTTTCTTTTCTTTTCTGGTTGATTTTTTCAGTCTGATTGATTTTTGTATGACTAAATTAATTTATTATTTAATTTTATTTCCAAATAATGTAAAATTATGGATTTGCTAAAAATTAAGAACGTTAAAACTTTATATCCTGAATTGAAATTTAGATTCCTTTATTTTCGAAGGGAGGATCACAGATCAATTAAACTTTATGTGCACGCTAGCTATGGAAGATAGAGCCGAGGGGTCTCCCCTGACTTATTGATTTCTCAGATGAGCAATAGTTTTTATTATTCATGGTAAAATTATAATTTCTTATAACTTTTCTAGATTTTTATTTACAGTTATTTTATTATTACATATTACAATACTTAACGACGTAATGGAAAAGTGTGAAGAGCAAAGCTCTCTTGAGTTCCACACTTACTTACACGGCTACATACAAATGTGCATACATATATACAAACATTTCTTGTTACTTCATACTTTTAATTTGTTTCCTCCACACAAAAAGCAATGCGCCCTTGTACCGTTGCAGCCTCCTCAATAGTCTTTGAGTATCTGAAGATTTTTGCTGTGCGTGCGGCACCTTTTCACATGCAACTTGTTTTGTTGGTGGCATGCAACCGCTCTGTTGGCCTGTGAAGAAGTGCAACTTCGCATTGCCACGAAAGCAAATTAAATCTTAAACGAAATGCCATTGTTATTGTTATTGGATATATATTTGATCTGTAGACCTTTGAGGGCATTGAGATGAGTGTTGGTCAATATAATGCAGACAAATGTAAATAAATTTGCTTTGTTTTGCTTTGAAGTTGCTTAAGCAGTTGCACGATATTTAACTGAGTCGCTTGTTAGGTAATCAATAATACATATATTTAGCCGTTTCTTTGTATGTGTAAGATTTACGCATTGGATAAAGAATGTGCGAAATAAATTACAATTAATTAATTTTTATTATTTAAAATAAATTGTAAATAAAAAACAGTTTTTTAAAGTATTTAATTATATTATTTAAAATATTTTCTCATTTCATTGACATCGAAGCCGGTTGAGTTTAGTACCTAAACGAAAACTTGAAGAACAATTTATACAACGCCTACTAGTCAAGGAGAAGCTGCATAAAAAAATTTTTCCATTTGTGTAAAGATCATCCCAATTTGCTGCGATGTGCTTTGGATCATCCAAAGATATAATGTCGCTGCTAAAAGGTGACGGTATTTACAATTTTTGGTTTTTGTGCCTAGTCACGGGCCTACTCGGCCTCTTTCGTTTATTTTATAGCACTCTAGGAAACTGTGAGGTATCTCCAAAAAATAGTTCTTAAAAACTATAATTTTTCATATTCAATTTTGGCATACCATTCGAAAGCAACAAAGTCATCTCTGTTAAGTTTGCACAATTAACTTTTACATACTGTGTAGTGGATAAATGTTTATGTATATAAGTATTCGTATGCTGCTTGCATTTACGTGACATATTTTAATATGTACATATGTTTATTAATATTTTTTTTTTCTTTATTTTCTTTTTTTCTTTTCTTTTTTTCTTTTCTTTTTTTACAACCACCATAAAGTGTTTTAAACGTCTTGCATATGGATTTTTGTAAATAAAAAACACATTACATTTTACTCTAATCTAATATTTGCGAATTCAGTATAAAGTAAAAAATACAAAGAGCAATTAAAGCATCAAAACTGACAGAACATAAAAGCAATCACCTGTCGTACTAAAAACTCGTTGCTACACTTTGAAAATAAATACCCAAAGGGCATCCATCAAGCGCACGCCACCAGTCTGACAAATTAACAATTATTGTGAAATTGAATGTCGAAAATCTACTAATGAGACAACAAATTTTCGTAGAATATGTTAGGCGTAGGCAAATTTATTTGTACATACATACATACATACTCGTAAGTAAGTGCGAAATATTTTATTGCAGCTTCCCATAGTAAATCTGTTTACCTCTGATAATAAATATTAAGTACAATGAAAATATTAGAGTTTTTAAAAATACCTAAAAAAAAGATGAAATACAAAATAAAACACAAAAAATAATATAATTAAAAAAATAAATTCAGAAAATAAAATAAAATAAAATAGAAATAAAATAATATAAAATAAAATAATATAAATTAAAATAAAAAAAAATATGAAATTAATTAAAAGCAAAAAAATTAAATAACATAAATGAAATTAAAATAAAATTAAATAAGGTAACATAAAATAAAATAACATAAAATAAAATAACATAGAATAAAATAAAGTAGAACAAAATGAAAAAATAAAACAAAACATATTAAAAAAAATAAAAAAAAAATAAAAATAAATAAAAAAAAAATTAAAATGATATAAAGTAATATTAAGTAAAAGTAAACAAAATAAAAGAAAATAATGAATAACAAAATAAAATAAAATACAAAAATAAAATAAATTAAATTAAATAAAAATACAAAATAATGTGAAATAAACCAAATGATATGAATTATAATAAAATAAAGTGATATGAAATAAAATTAACAAAAATAAAATAAAACGAACTAATATAAAATAATATAAAATAAAATAATATAAATAAAAGAATTGAAATGAAATAAAATAAAACAAAATTCAACAATATATTAAAAAAGTAAAATAAGATAAAATAAAAATAGTTTTAAAATACAACAACTTAAATTAAATTAATGTAAATAAAGCTAAATTTATTAAAAAAAAAGTGATTAACATTAAAGAAAGCAACGTAAATAAAATGCAAAGTAGTAAAGTAAAATAAAACAGATAAAATTTGTATTTATTAAAATTGAATAATAATTAAGATGATTAAATAATAAAATTAAATTAAAATAAACTAAAATAGAACAAAAGTATGGGCGAGGAGCTCGGCCACAAATCGCACCAGCTGTTGCTTGCTGGAAAAAAATAAATAAAAATGAATTAATTAAAGCGAAATAATGAAAAAAGAAATAAAATAAAATAAGATAAGATAGAATAAAAATAAAAATAAAATTTAATCAAATAAAATGAGATAATATAAATTAATTTAAAAAAATTGAAATAAAGTATCTAGCAAAATTGATTTTTTACCGTGCATTCATGTAAGTAAAATTATTGGGATCTACCGCAAGTACAATTTACCTTACATATCTTGCTTCAAAATGACGCATAACAAACAAAAATTAAGCAAATCTAAAATAAACAATTATTAACCAGCAATGATGAGCGTTGAAGAGCCCTACACCTGCTATTAAGTCGATATCAGAATAATTCCCAGAAAATAGTATCTATAGAAGTAAAGGAAAGGTAAGGTAATAATAATTTATGGCATGACATGACAAAAAATATATCGCACATGGTGTAATGGTTGCAATAGGAGTTAAGTGTATTGAGTCACCATATGTCACGTACATAGTCTTCCGAGGAAAGTGTATTTGAAATATGTAAATTGCTACTGAATCAACTAAATACTAAAAAAGAACTAGAAGAAGAGTTATTTATTATTTTGATGACTTATATACTAAAAATTAATTTATTGTGCAACATTTACATTTCAAGTAACCCGATGCCCTTACATTGCATCCATCAAAGCATACCGAATGTAGGTATGTATGCACATTTTTAATATACGTTAGTAAACAAATTTTATGTCGGTATTTAAAAATTACCCACAATCACACACACACACAAATACTTGTATGTACATAAGTAACAATCAACTACCAACATTACAAGCCGAATGCCCAGAAGCCTAAGTATAAAAGCACTGGTCAATCCTTGAGAAGAAATGTAGTGAAAATTCTAACATCTGACTGAACAGAACACAAGTGTCAAGTGACGAAATAAAAATTAAAAATTTGATTAACTCGTGTAAAATGCGATTTTACATTTTATTCGCACTCATTGCTGTGACTTACGTTCATGCAGCAACAGTTCCGGAAAAGACAAAGATTGCACTGGTGGATGCACGACCCACTGAAGAGGAGCTTCCATTGACAAAAGATGCGAAGCCAAATAATCTGTTTGAGGTGGCTGATGTCGGCGGAGAGCATGCTGAAGAGAACGCACGAGTAGCGCGTGGTTTCGGCTGGGGCGGTTATGGTCGTCGTTATGGTGGCTGGGGTGGTTATGGTGGTTATGGTGGTTATGGCGGTTATAGAGGCTACGGCGGTTATGGCGGTTATGGCCGTCGTCATGGCGGTTGGGGCGGCTATGGTGGTTACGGCGGATATGGTGGTTATGGTGGATACGGCGGTTATGGTGGTTATGGATACCGCAAGCACTATGGACATGGATATTGGGGTTAGAAAAGAATCTGTTCATTAGTTTAATATTAAATTTGAAAAGTATACGATTTTTAATAGAATAATTTTTGTACCCGCAAACAAATAAAACAACGTTGTTTAAAATTCTTTGTGTTTTATATAAAACAAGTTGTGTGTGGTACATTTGCAATCAAAATTTTCAATCTCTAAATAGATATAAAGTGATAAGAACCTATGAAAAAGTGACCACTGCAGAATATCTACGGTTGCGGGGAGATTTAAGTAACTCAAAATTAACTTTTACTTTTCAAAACCAAGCGTTGTTTAACTCCCTGAGCCAGATATCTGAAGAAAAATAATTAACTAGTGGTACGTCAGAGTACCTTTCACTTTGGTGGGTATCATTTTTATTTTATTTTTTTTTTTGGTATTTAATATTTTATATATCCAGCATCAAATAAAAAAAAGAAGAAAAGGAAACTTATGGGCTGCCAAGGTCATTAAATTTTTTTTTAAGTGTTTATATAATTGGTATTTTGTAACGGCTAAAGTGATTTTCAGTCGAACTCACCCATCAATTTGGCGTTTGTGCTTTGATTTTATTCCAAGAAAATAGAGGAACTTCGCTGTCGATGGATTTTCTAAAGGAGGTTTTCTCCTGTCAGAAATACACTCGAAGAAAAATTTAATAAATCATCTTTGGAATTAGTTACATTTTTCATTACAAAATACTTATTAAAAGTGGGCAATTTCTACACAACTATTGATAACATAAATCAAAAAGTCTCATGTTCAAAAAATATGATGTAGATTCGATTTAAAATTTTATATTTTGAAGCAAATTTATCTTCTTCCAATAGCTAAATTCTCATATAAAGTGATAAGCATAAAGTTAATAAGTAAGCAACATAATAAAGGGTGTTTTTTAAGAGCCACAGGGAAGTTTTTGAAAAGAAAAACAAAAAATTCTGAAAAAATAGTCCGAAGGCGTTAAATTGCACGAGCGGTTCCGAACGCGAAATAAATTGTTCACCGAACTCGCCTCTCAATAAGTCCATTGTTATACTTGCTTTGTGGCATGTGGCACTTTTTTGTTGAAGCCGCAAGTAAAGTTGTTGCATTTTGGGCAAAAAAAAGTTTGATATCATCTCACAGTAGCTCTCGCCATCCACAGTTATGTTACAATCCGCATCATCTTTGAAGAATTACGGTCCAATGATGCCACCAGCCCATTAACGACACCTAACTGTGACCTTTTCGGGATGCATTGCAATGAAAAGGTCTACCTACATATATTTTTCGGTCTTGGGAATTTTGAAAATAAAAAAAAAGTTGTATACCAATAATTATGGTGATATAAAAAAAAAAAAAAAATAAGCAGGAATATTTTACTTTATTCTAAATAGAAAGTTTCGGCTTGAAAAATATAACAATTTATGGAAAAAGTCTACATACACGAGGTTAGTCTGGGCATTTCATTGAAAAGTGAAACTAAATATGGGAAATATCTTGTGCATTTTTTGGATTTTCTCATTACCAGTATTTCTGTTACAAAAATGGCCAATCTAATCTGCTTATTTTCAAAATTTTTTGTTTCAAATGGGGGTTCGTAAGGAAATACAGATTCCAGCTCGAAATATTGTAAACACTCTAAAAAAAATTAATCATTTTGTGGAAATTCATAAATTTGTAAAACTAAGCTGTTCCGAAAATAACCCACGTTCTGGCAGATGACACATTGGAACCAAATTTAAAGGCATAGTTTGGGTCTCGAAAAGCACTGGATTTTTAAACTAACCGAAGCATATGATACACGTTGCTCGAGGCTGGCACTCAGATAGCTAAATTTATCACCAGAGTCATTAGATATTAATCCCATTGAATAGATTTGTGAGGTTCCAGTGAAAAAATTGGTAAATATGACTACTGCCCTTACACGGGTTTTAGGCCGAAATTTCCTCCGAAAACTTGGAGTCTTCAATGCCCGACGTCTATGAGAAATGATTAATGTGCATGGTAAGCCAACCAAATGCTTAAATTAAGAAAACAGTGTTTATCCAAAGAAATTTTTCAACTTTTGAGGGTATAGTATATATTATATTAATATATCTGTTCAGAATAGTAATGCTTTCCACACTAGGATCACCGTAAAAAGTGTAGTAGATGCAGCATATGGTCTACGTGAGACCCGTAGGATAAGCCAAATCAGCCGAAGCTAACCCATTAGAAATAATTGAAAGCGCGCAAGAAAAACAGTTTTTAACAAATAATTTATAATAATAATAATGAGCCCAACGAAAACCCAAACCCAACCCGCTCAAACGATATGAGAGGCGACATCCGCTTAACGTACGGAATATGCCGAGTCATGACTGGGAAGCTTTTGTTCAGCGTCGAGATTTAAAACTGTTCAACTACAGAAAAAATAATTATTCAGCAGCTGAAATTTAGTAATTGTGGAATTTAAAATTTGATTGTTGAGAGCAGTAAGAGTGGTTTTTTGTATGCTGAAAAGTGAGAAATCGAAGGTGCTGGAATGAAAATTAAAAATGTTACATTATATTTATATATACACATATAATATATATTTTTTTTTAAATTACAAAATGCTATATTCTAATAGTTTTATCTTTTTCATTAAAGCTTTTTTGCAATTTATTTTTACCTAATTCTGTTCTTTTTTTTTTTTTGATGAAGACATTACATATCCACGTCTTTAAATAATAAAGACTTCACAGAAGTAGGAGCATAAATCATTTTTTCACAAGCTAAATGAAATTCAAATCTGCACTGGAGATCAATTATTTGATAATAAGCCTTTGATTTATTATTTAGTTAATTCATTTGGTAGTAAATTTAATAAGCAAAGCGTATTGCGCAGCGTTTTTATTTTAAATTAACTTTACACTTATATTTTTAAGGCGAAATATTGTATTGCTAAAAGATTTAATTTAAATAAAAATATTTTTTATTAGCTAACTGTACTTATTTATAAGCACTTATTTATTAATATTTTTTTTTTATTTCTTATGAATGAGTGTATCACTTTTGTATTAGATTTACGGACATTGAGAACTCTATATAAATATATATGTACATAATTTTATATGGTAAGCTATTTAAATTTAACGCATTCACATTCGTTACTAGCGGGTTTGTAGCGCTAATTAAAATTATTTTTTATCCTATTTTTCATGGTACGAAAACTTGTTTTCATTAAAGAAATGCTTTTAATTTGTTTCGTAGAAGAACTTGATTGCTAAAAAGCCATAATTAAGAAAGAGGCGGTGAAGCATACGTCAGATTTAAAAAATTTTGAGTCTCCTTTGACACCAAACTGTGTGTGAAAATATTTAATTTGTATTTCATGAAATTTACCACAAAGAAAAGAGGCTTGATAACAGAAGTCTTAACGTTTGTATTAATTGAGTTCAGGCCAATTCGCGCACATAGTCACTTTCGACTCAACTAGAGATTTAGTTGATGCTGTGAATACAGGAAACCGCCTTTTAGATTGCATTTTAACACCGTGAAAAAAACAAAGCAATAAAGGAACTTAAATCAAAACATGCGGAAACGAAAGAAACACCGATTGGAGAATATTTTAAAAATGTTTATTCAAATAGAGACGATGGAATGTCGCAAAATACTTAAAAAGACCAAAAGACCATCTCTGCTGATGGGTTCACCAATACACTTACACGATTTCGGCCAGCATTAACAGATTTTTGTTTATCTTTTTCTTCTGAGTATATACAAATTGATTAAGAATGCAGTTGAACGGATAATCCGTTGTTCTTATTTTTTATTTTAGAACGACATTTTTAATCGTTTTCTCCGCTGTTGATAGATGTGAAAAATACATGATGAAGATCCTGTGCAAGGTATGGTAATAATATATTTTGGATAGGGAAAATTTTTGTCAAACTGATATCCTTCTTCATCAATGCTGTCACCCATCTGTGCTCGGTTTGTACTTCAAGAATGACGAAAATGCGCGAGGATACAAAGATAGAGTGTCGTACACGTAAACAAATGTAAGCATAATATTTGTCATTTCGGCATTAAGAAAGTGATGGAAAAATCATTCTACGAGATCTCGGGATATAACAACATACATTCCTGGCATATGTTGGCTCAAATGATTGGAAGGCTTCTTGCAGAGATCACATTTTGGTCACATATCAACCGCTTAATATCCACAGTGTCATCCACTGACAGAGTCTCAAAGATTTTATTGACTACTGTCTTCAATGTATAATACCATATCCTTCTTAAAGATCTCAAAAATAAATTTCCCAGCGAAGAGATATATGATCATAATATAAGTATTTCAAATCGTCATTAATTTATTTCATGCCCATTTTATTTAAATATACAAAAATTCCAAAATTATATTTTTTGAAAACAATAAAATACCAAAGAAATCTTTTCAAATCTGGTATATCTTGTTTCAGCAGGATTTTGGCCTACGAACATAGCTGATAATAATATTTTTATTACCATTGCTGTTATACCGCATTGCTTATATATTTTTCGTATTTTATTGCCGGAAACATTTACAAATAAGGTGAGTAGAAATCTATAAAATAATGAGTAAGTAAAACCAAGTTTGAGTGGAACCGATCCACCATACCTATTCTATCCAACAAGTAAGACCAAGTTTTCTCGACAAATTGGTAAAAATTCAATTCTTAATCCTTAGGTAGTTAAATAATAAAAGTCTCTTTTATGGGAAATAGGTTTATTTCTGGACCTATATTAGGAAGTTTTGGTAATAATTTATTCCCCATTAAAAATCATATAACAAACAAGTTTTGTTTAGCTCTATTACTTAATGCCTCAATTAATCGGTCGAGTGGGTGGTTGCAAAGTAAAAAACTGCTTTATGGGACTAAGATTACGGGCTGTAACTTGCACTCATTTGAATTCGTCTTCATACTATTGTGTGATAATTATAAAAATCAAATATTATCAAAGTCGGTTCAGCTGTTAAGTGTGTCGATAAAACATCTCAATCATTATTTCCGCTTTTTTCGACATAGAAGAACGTTCGGCCGGAGGGACAGACGCACAGATGGACACTGCTTAATCAATTCTCTAGTCATTTCATGAAGTTTGATGCTTAATAATAATGT